TTTTCTTTTAAAAAAAGATATAAATTTTGATCGAATAATAAAGATAATTGCAATATTATTGAGAAGCAAGATTTATTTAAGTATTTTAAATTAAATTTATATATTAATCGATCGAACGAAATAAATATCTTCGGATCTATTTAACTAAATAATAGATTATTTAAATTTTTGATGATAATAATAATTACTATCGAATAAATCTTCTTTCATTCATGAACATTATATATACGATATAAGTATAAAGCTCATTGTCAGTTTTTCTATGATTAGTCAAGAATTGATGTTTCAATAAATTTATACCTGTTAAAAAATTAACGCGTTGTCGCAGCCATTTTGACGAAGCTTTTATTTATTTATTTATTGGAAAACAAGGATATAATTACGTGTATGCGTTTTTTAATTAATATAAGAAATAAAAGAGAAAATCATTATAATGAATTTAAATAATGTCGTTTCGTATGTCGATATAAGAAATGTACGATTTCAAAATATCGATAAGGGGATCGAACGGAAACGAGTTTGATATGTTATTTCAAAAATAATTATTCCAACGATTGAGATAAATAAATGATTATTTTAAATACGTTCATCTTATTTAAACGTTAACGAGCATATTTAATAATTAAAAAATAAACTTATATATAATAATTTTTAACTTATACCTCTCCTAGATTATTTTTCTCAAAGTAAGAGACAATCAATTGGCGCGAAGATCGTTTCAAGCGAACAACCGGAAGTGCCGTGACCGAAAACAATCCTAGTCGAATGAAAATCTATAACGTGAATTTTATTTTCTTTCTTGAAAAGAAATGATTACAAAAAAATATTAAAATAAATATAAAAAATTGTCTTCCTATTTATTATTTGTTTATTATTCTTTAAAGAAAAATACGAGAGTGCAGTATGTGGAAAGGATTTGCCCGCGCTACGATCGTTTCTCTGTTGAAAATCCGACATTAGGTTTTTGCTGAGTTGCGCAACGGACGTTTAGATTAAGAAGCATTGCTACTTTTGGCGCCAAGCAAGTAAAAAACACATTACAATCGTATTCCACGGCAAGTGCTGGAAAATATTAGTATGTATAAGTACGGCAATATTAAAATTGCCTTAAAGACTACGTGTAACAGTTATGAAAAATATTTTCAAAGAACATTTATCAACATAACCTAACAAATGTTATAGTGCCGCCAAGGAAAGCTACTAAACGAACCGCCCAAGTTCCTCCGACGGGACAAAAGAAGTCCAAACAGCTAAAAAAAAAGCAAGGTAACAATTTCATCAGCTCGTTATCACGGCAATTTTCTAATTTCACTCTTATCTGAGCCAATATAAACAATTCTACGTGTTACGATTGAATGTTCTACTTCTTTAACTGCTGGGTTTAGTAGGGTCACTGCATTTTTTTTTTGTTTTTTTTTTTAGATCATTTCCATTAAATTCCATTTAACTGAAAATATTTCAATCTTAAACGCGTTAACTTGTAACAATTATTTTTCTTTATTATTCATCTTCCTCTTCTTAGTCAGCCCATGCCATATTATTATTAAACTATAGAAAAATTCTTAAACTTCTCTTTAGCAGATTTAAAGTTGAAACCAAATTTACGACAATCCAATAAAGGCGGTTACATACTTGCATTCGGACAAGGCGATGTTGGACAACTTGGACTGGGAGAAGATGTCATTGAAAAGATTCGTCCTGCGACTATTCCTGGATTTCAAGATGTTGTTACTGTAGCAGCTGGAGGCATGCATAATGTTTGTTTAAGACAAACCGGTGAGGTAATAACATTTGGATGTAACGATGAAGGGGCTCTGGGAAGAGATACATCCAAAGAAGGCTCGGAAACTGTACCAGGTTGCGTTGATTTACCTGCTAAAGCTATTCAAGTAACAGCCGGTGACTCTCACAGCGCTGCATTATTAGAAGATGGTAGAGTCTTTGCGTGGGGTTCTTTTAGAGTAAGTCGCATCCTTCTTTCGAGTAACCTTTTTTCTTCTAACAATGAATTAATATTAAATACTTTTGAATTATTATAGGACTCTCATGGTACTATGGGATTGACGTTAAAAGGAAATGAAAGACTTCCTATAGAATTATTACCTAATGTTAAAATAGTTAAAGTAGCATCGGGTGCTGATCATTTAGTATTACTTAGTGAATCTGGAAATGTATATACCTGTGGTTGCGGCGAGCAAGGTCAACTAGGACGAATAGCTGCTAGAACCGCTAGTAGAAATAGTCGTCAGGGTATAGGACCTTTGTTAACGCCTGGAATAGTTGAATTTAAAATTACTAAGAAATTAGAATTTAATGATATATGGGCGGGTACATATTGTACTTTTCTAAAAGAATATAGTAAAGGAGACATATATGTTTTTGGTTTGAACAATTATTATCAAATTGGTAAATATCTATTTATATTTATTATAACATTTATTTATGATAAAAGCACAAATGTCATCTATGTCTTTCTTTTAGGTTTAAGTGAACCATCCACTTATTTTCATCCACAAGTATCAAAAACTTTTAGTGGGAAAGTATGGAGGCATATCAGTAGTGGTCAACATCATACCATTGCTTTAGATGATGTAGGTCAAGTTTTTGTAATGGGTCGTAAAGAATATGGTCGTCTAGGCCTTGGACCTAACTGTTCGGATGCCAACGAATTAACTTTAGTTTCTGCTTTAAGTTCTATGAAATGTACCGATGTATCAGCTGGTAGCGCACAATCTTTTGCAGTTACAGAATTAGGTATTTAAATATATATATGCACCACTGTTTTATATACATATCGTGAATGTAAACCTTACTAAAATTTACTCTCTATTCTTTCTTGTAATTTTAGGAGATCTATATTCGTGGGGAATGGGAACAAGTGGACAACTAGGTACAGGAGCAGAAGAAGATGTAGAAGAACCTCAATTAGTTAAAGGGAAACAATTAGAAGGCAAAACAATAATACAAGTTTCTGGTGGTGGACAACATACGTTAATTTTAGCGATATCTCGCCCAATAAAAGATAAAACTGCGGGTTAATTAAAAGTAATGTAACATTTGTATAATATCACACATGTGTGATACTAAGGTCGGACAACGAAGGACAAAAAAAAAATGTGTGTAAATTAAATGTGCCTAATAACTTTATGACGAAAACAAAGATATGATCAAGATCAATTTTTTAATGCATTCAAATCCTTGATGAAAGGAGAATTTTCATTTTTGTATATAATGCATTATTATCGGAAATGAAATCATGGTGTTCGGAATTATTGGAAATTGTTTAATTTGGAATTATAGGAAATTGTTTAATTTCTTTGTTAGTTTTTCTATTTACAAATGTGTATTACAGAAATAAATTTTTTCTACAATACTATTGATTTAATTATTTTAATATCTATACATGCATATATATATACATGTATGTACATACAATATCTTCCTGTTCTTTAAATTTTGTACAATGCTATTTTAATACAGGTATTCAATAGCATATTTTCGCAAATCTATCAATTATATTGAATAAATTTGTGTTCATTGATAATTTATGTGGGACATAAAAGCTGCATATTATGTTCTAGTTAATTTTAATAAAAAATTTATATAACTATCTATATAAACAATAAAAAGATTACCGTTTCTTCATAATAAATATTTCTAAAGTATAACTTTATTAACAATTTGGTAATTAAATACAAAGTTGTACTTTATTTGCCATTGTATTAATACGCATGAACTACAATAATTTAATGCTTTGCAACGATAATGTTACAGTATGACAACTCACTGCTTGCTTCTATCTGAATAAGTTATAAAGTCAGTAAGAAATGATTTAAACAATTGTAGCACCATCATCATTCAGCAAAAAATACATGATGGATAATTTAACTTGTCTTTGGTTGCTCGTCTACTTTATTTTTCATAAAATTATCTTCTTGCATGGAAATTTGTGTAAGTTTTTTTCCTATACGTTCATGTACATCTAAATATTTAGCTACACAACGATCTAAACATATTGATTCTCCTTTTCCTAATTCCGGTTCGGTATATTTTGGTGGAATACATTTTCGATGACACGCCGAAGTCATACGATTATACATATCGGACATCATTTCTAATTCCAAATCTTGGACCATTTTGATTTTTTCCTCATCTAATTGCGGTAGAGCTGCCATTTTTGTTTTACTCGATTCGAATAAATTTGATATTAAGTATTTTAAGTGATTATTTGTCTTCAATATCCAATTGCCGCATACGCTGTCTTATTTTCATAATCTCGTACCTTTTATTATCTATGTATTTTCTTGATAAGCTAAAGCTATATATTCCAAAAGAAATGACTATAGCCCTGTAACAATTCATAACAATAATGAGCATTCAAACAAAATATTAATTAATTTATCCTTAAAACAAGCCAATAACGTATACACGTGGAAATGATAACTCTTGCGAATTATACATTTTTATATATATATTTGAGGTTATAAATAATTAAATAAATCTAATAACAATTCAAAGTTATAATATCTACGCACCTACCATCCAATAAATATTTTCTGATGCGTCCCTAATTTCATAATTATACTTTTTAATATATTAAAGGAACTTTCGAATAAAACATTTACTCTACAGCATGATTGTATTAACCATACTAAACTGATATTCGGGGTGTGCGCACTATACCGACGCTTATCAATACCAATATCTAGCATTTCAGCATGTTAAAATTCTAGTAGAGTAATTCAGTGTAGCCAAAATTATAAAACATGTTAATCTCTCACACGCATGGAACTTTAAGTTTTTTTAAGTTGAAATAATATAAAACAAAATTGTAACCTATAAATATAACCTATAAATTAAAATAAAAAACATATTATCTGCTACTATAAACAATGCAACGATTTGAAATATTGTGGAAACAATTACGTTTAATCAATGTCATCAGAACGAATAGAACGTCTATAAAATCATTCAGTAGTGAAAAATCTCCAGACGATAGCATGAACGAGATTGAGAATACTCAAACCGAGATTAAAGAAATAAAATCATCTGATAGTCCTTTAAATAAATCTGATGAATCAATTTCTAATATCGAATCTAATGAAATGAAATTCCTCAAGGATTTAGCACAACCAGAAGTAAAGTTGAGTGGATTTGCGCAGACATTTGACAAGTTTTCACAAATTGATACACCGATAAAAACCAAAGAACCGGCTACCTTTATTTCTTTATTGCGTCAATCAGAATTTATGAATGTATGCTTTTTATATTTATTTACTTAGAGATTTATAGATTTTTACATTTATTTTGTATTACAAGTCATTACATTACAGTTAGGAGATCCAGAAGGAAAGAGGGTCGTAGGGAAAATATTTAAAACCATTAACGATGATTTATACATAGATTTTGGATGGAAATTTCATTGCGTATGTACTAGACCTTTAAAAAATGGAGAGTATGTATTTTATTATTTACTTCAATATTTATTATATTATTAAGCAAACCGATTGATAATTTGAAGTTAAATTATATTTCAGATTTTATGTTAGGGGTTCATTGGTAACTTTAAAGATAAAGGACCTGGAATTATCTGCAAGGTTTTTAGGTTCAAGTACAGACACTACTATTTTAGAAGCAGATTGTATACTTTTAGGTTTAGTATATTCTCCATTGAAACAAGTCAATACGCAACCAGAAAAGACTAAATTATAATACATACTATTTAGTATTTGTTAATTATTGTAATTTCTAATAAATACTTAAACACATTAAAAAATGACTGAGAAAGTGTTTCTAAGATTTATGCTACTATAAGATTATTATACATATATATATATGCATATAAAAACAATATTGTTTGGATCATAAATATATATATGAGTCCATAATTATGAAAGTGGTCTAAGTCATATATCTCTTGTTTTAAAATATTTAAAGAATTACATTTAAACATTAACATAAATGAATTCGATAAAATATTGAAATAACAAGTACTATCTAATGGTTCATTTTGATAATATCGTAAAAATTGCGTTGAATTACTTTAGTTTAAACTAATGTGATTTGAAGAAACTGATAAATTTATTTTTTTTTATGTTTGACTTATTGTTAGGTCACTTTCATAATTATATATATATCTATATATAATATATAATAACTGATTTAATCAAAATAGTACATGGTGAGGGGGCAGTTTTACTATTGCAAGTAATCTTACAACTGGCCTTTTAGCTCAGTTGGTTAGAGCGTCGTGCTAATAACGCGAAGGTCGCGGGTTCGATCCCCCCAAGGGCCAATATTTTTTTTCCAACCAATGATCAAATTTATTTAAAAACAAGAAAAATTCGTAAACAATTACATATTGTTCAGCTAAATTTTCTTACAAAATAAATAAATAGAACGTTAAAAATTATATTTTATGTTATGCATTATATTATGCATATAGACATATAAGTATATATATAGTATATTTTGTGTTATCATACATAAATAGATAATAAAGTTTCACTTATTAGTACATTAAACTGAATGAACTTTGATACCACAAATGGATTACTCAATAAACTCTTATTCGTGTGTTTAGTTACTGAAATATATTTTTGAAAGATAATATATATTGTGAAATGAGAAATACTCAGATATGGCTTATTTTATTTCTTCATTCGATAGTGGTGCATAACCCTTGTAACAACAATTAAATATGAAAATCATGATGACCTAAATTACGCATTCATCTTTACTGTGCAGTGAAACAATTATGATAATTACAAAAATTATAATTCGTTAACAGGGTATTTAATGTTATGCTGCAATATATAACTATCAAAATCATGTATCACTCTAGAAAAGTTCAACTTTTACTAAAAACGTAAGGAACGATTTAATAAATATTTCCATTTGTATTCTCATACATATAATGATTGTTTTCTTATAGGAATTTATTAACCTCGAAGGCGTATTCACACACAACTAACCCTACGCAACTTGTAAAAATCGACAAAGTAAGATTTATTCTTTTTGTTTTTTTCTTATTCTATAGTAGGATCATTTAAGTAAAATAAAATTTGCTAACATTGTAGGTACTTATTGCCAATAGAGGAGAAATAGCATGTCGAATATCACGGACAGCCAAAAGATTAGGAATAAAAACTGTAGCAGTATACAGTGATGTGGATAGAAATGCAATGCATGTGAATCTTGCCGATGAAGCATATTGTATTGGTCCAGCTCAATCTAGTCAAAGTTACTTACGACAAGACAAAATAATATCCGTTGCTAAACAAGCAAAATGCCAAGCGATACATCCAGGATACGGTTTTCTTTCTGAAAATACTGAATTTGCAGAACTTTGTCAAAAAGAAAATGTCATTTTTATTGGACCTCCTGCAAGCGCAATTAGAGATATGGGTATAAAAAATAAATCAAAAAAAATAATGGCTAATGCTGGCGTACCTGTTATAGAAGGTATTCAATGATTACGGTTATACAAAATTACAAAATATTTTATATCATATATTATTGTTCATCATAATTTTAATAACTTTTCGACAGGTTATCATGGAGACGATCAATCCAATGAAACTTTGCTATCTGAAGCCAAAAACATTGGTTTCCCATTAATGATAAAGGCGATACGTGGCGGAGGTGGTAAAGGTATGAGGATTGTTTTAAATGAAAATGGATTTTTGGATGCTTTGGAATCAGCAAGAACTGAATCGCAAAAAGCATTTGGTGATTCGGCTGTTCTTTTGGAACAATACGTTGAGAAACCGAGGCACGTTGAGGTACAAATATTTGCAGACAAACATGGCAATGCAGTTTACTTATTTGAAAGAGATTGTTCTATTCAAAGGAGACATCAGAAAGTGATAGAAGAAGCACCTGCTGTATGTTATCTGCGTTATTATGAAAGACAATATTAATTAAAAAGTAAGATAACAATAATTAGAGTAAAAGAGACAAAATCTTAAAGTTTATGTAATGCATATGTCGTATAGCCTGGTATATCTCCAGAACTACGAATAGAATTAGGAGAGACGGCTGTCCGTGCGGCAAAGGCTGTAGGTTACGTTGGAGCCGGTACTGTAGAATTTATAATGGATCCAACCAACTACAATTTCCACTTTATGGAAATGAATACACGTCTCCAGGTAGAACATCCTGTTACGGAAGCAATTACGCGATTGGATCTCGTAGAATGGCAATTAAAAGTAGCTGCTGGTGAAATACTTCCTTTAAAGCAAGAAGAAATCCATCTTCATGGACACGCTTTTGAAACTAGGATCTATGCGGAAGTAAATATTTATATTTTATGTTGTATACTATTTAAATAATGTCATTGCTCATATCAATACCTATATATTTAATTAATGTTTTATCATTTTATTTTCTTATTTCGTTACAGAGTCCAAGAAATGGTTTTTTACCAGGAGCAGGACATTTGTCTTATTTGAGGATTCCTGAGACATCGGAAACTGTTAGAGTTGAAACTGGTGTTAAGGAAAACGACGATGTGCTGGTTCATTATGATCCGATGATAGCTAAATTAGTTGTTTGGGGAGCTAATAGAAATGAAGCACTTAGAATTCTTAGATCTAAACTTAGCGAATATAATGTAAGTTTATAAATTTAGCATAGAAACATATTAATCGATGAAAAGTATTTTTTTGTTGTTATTTTAAATGAAAAAATTAAATGTTTCTAGGTAGCTGGGCTTGATACAAATATTGAATTCATTAAAGATATATGCTCTCATCCAAAGTTTCAAAATGGAAAAGTTCATACGGGTTTCATAGAGGAAAATAGTAAAGAGTTATTTCCAGATTTACGTATTCCTAATGGCGTATTGATGCAAAGTGTCCTCGCGCTAATTTTATACGAGGAAATGAATGCCTTAACTATATCTTTAAAAACAAATAATCCTTTTAGCCCATTTGCTACAGAAACTGGATTTAGATTTAATCATATATTAAATAGAACATTAAACTTTACTGTCAATGATAAAAATATGGAAGTGAGTGTAAAATATGTTGAGCCTGAAATATATTCTATGAGAGTCAACAATATTGGGCCATGGAGACAAGTACATGGTACAATGAAGAAAATAAATAATGTGTTACAATTAAATATAGAAATAGATGGAGTAATTACGAAAACAAAAGTTACTAAACTTGGAAATAGGTTGCACTTATTTACTAATGTAAGTTGATCAATTAGTTCCTAATTATATTAGTAATTAAATATTCATACACTAAAAATTCATCTTCCAGAGTCAAGAATGGCAATTGAATATACCCAATCCTAAATTTGTATCGGAGCTTACCAAAAATATAGAATTACATCCTTCAGCAGCAATTAGTCCTATGTCTGGGATAATAGAAAAAATATTTGTTAAAATAGGTGATAAGGTTCAACAAGGTGATGCATTAGTTGTTATCGTAGCTATGAAAATGGAAGTAAGTTGATTTTAATTGAAATTTATACAAATTTTTCATGACTTTTTCGTTTGGTCATAACATTCATAAAAGTTTATTATTTTTTTTTTTTGCAGCACGTAATTAAAGCATCTATTGACGGAATTGTCGAAGATGTTTTGTTTTCGGTCGGTGATAATGTTTCAAAGGATAATCTTCTTGTGAAATTATCACAAGTAAAAGAGTAATTTTAAAAACGCACATTGAAATATTTTTATACAAAATCTATAATTCACATTTATATTTTTTATATTTATATATATATAAAATGTAATAAAACATATATTATTTTGGAAAAATATAATAATTATACTTGCAAGTACAATTAATTACATATTTAATTACATATAAATTAAAGTGGCAGTTCATTGTTAAACGCAGATGGCGCTGCTGTACAATTACTTTTCCCTAGTTATTTTTTACTAAGAGAAAACGTATTTCTAGAACTGTGACAATTTGGTAAGGTTAATTTATTATTTATTTTTTATTATTTTAAACACAATTGTTTACTTAAACACATATGAATCTTCTTATTGTTAAAGAGATAAAGATAGAAAGAGACATATTAATTGTGTGAAAAATAATACGTACTATATACAAACAGAGATTACGTTTTTTGTTAAATATTAATTATTTATTATGAATATTTTCAAGATATTTAACTGTGGTAATTAAAAAGCTAAACCTTTGTATTTGAATCTGTAATTTGATATGGATCTGTTAGCAACTCAACCTTATCATGATAATGATGATGCAGCTACACAAAAGATTGATGTGGTACCGGATAAAATACAGAATGAACAGGTAATAAATCAAGATTTATAAGATTTATTTTCAACGATAGTTGGGTAATTAAATAATGATTAATGTTTCAGGTTGGTGTATTAATTGTCAATTCTAAATCATACCCTATTTATGAGGGAGTTTGTAATATAGGACGTAATTCCCATTGTAATATTCATTTGGAAGATCAGGTATTTTGTTTGTTATATTTAATGGACTATTATATTTCCTCTTTTCTAACAATATTTTTATTACAGAGTATATCAAAATATCATGCAGAGATAGAAGCATATACATATCCAACGCCCTCATGGATAAGTGATTTGAATTCTTGCAATAAAACATTACTTAATAATGTAAGTTTATGAGTTCATTTAAACATAAACAAATTTTATAGATTCTAAAGAAATATAATTATTATGCTAATTATCAAAATAATCTAAAATGATACTTTTACTACAGGTTGTTCTACGTCCTGCGCGTTATTATGAATTAAAGGATAATAGTATAATTCAATTCGGCAGGATAAGAGCAATTTATAAATCATGTTATTCAGGAAAGGCATTAACCATCCCCGAAACTCCTGAACGTGTCGATCAGAGTAGTGTAACAGTTTCACATTTAAAAACTCCAGATTCATTATTGGTGAAGATAATATTAATATACAAAGCAATATAACTAGAAACGAAAGTAAACTATTATTAACATATACAATTATATTTCTATTTTTTTAGATTACTCATTCAACTTCGAATAAGAGTAATTGTAAAATTACGGCGATACAAGAATATTCCAAAAAATCCATTTCTTGTACATTCACAAACCAGTCAGCTCAAGAAATATTACAAAATATGAGCAAACAAAATATTAGTACAGAAATAAATGTTAGCGCATGCGAGCAGAACAATCGCAATTCGAGTTACGAATCGGATGATATATTTGATGCGGCTACGCAACATGTTAATATCGATTCATATTTGAAACATATGCAAAAATCATCGTTACAGGAAGAAACAGAAAAATGCGACGAAAATGTTAGTAATATCGATAACACAATAACAATGGAACAAAAATGCAAAGCCATTGGTTCAACGAGTACACCCATAAAGAAAACAAATGTTAACGATCAAGTAGAAAAATTGAATAGCATAAAAGGAGATATTGCATCGGCAGCAACCAAGCATCTTCGGTCGAAAAATGATTCTTCACATTCGATTAAAGAAAATAATAAGGAAGAGAAAGATAATGTTGATTTGAATTCTGTAGAAACTCAATTGATATCCTTTCCTGACTGCATTTCAAATTCAAAAGAAGGACAAACTAATAGAGAAACAAGTGATAATGATAATATGGAAACGTTAAATACGCAAATAATAGAATTTTCTGAGCTTCCTTGCCGTGTTAATGGAAGTAGTGAAAAGTACAAGAAAAAAAATGATACTGATATTTATTCGATAGATACACAAATAATAAACATAGAAAGTAACAATGGTTCCGATTCAGCTAAGAAGTTACAAGCAAATAGAATTGACATAACCAAATGTAATTCTAGTGTAGAAGATATCGATTATGAGACAGCGAGTACGCAAGTAATCGGAGAAATGAACATTACAAATAGTAAGACATTTAAATTAGCTAAATCCAATTTCCAAAGTGATTTACAAGATGATGATGATGACATCTTATCTCGTTTGCCAGAGGTTACTATATCTGGCACTCTTTCAAATTCATCTAATCCTGTGGCGCTAGTAAAGCGAACAAATAAGACTAGAAAGTTTCATCGTAATACAAAAACTGCCGATAAATTTGACGCATCATCTAAAATGAATAAAACTAAATCTATCGACAAGAACGCAACGGATACGACGTTAAATGAAAGTGACGAGGATTCAAACAAAATGACTAAAAGTTTGATCTCTCAGAAAAATAAAAGATCGAGCCATTCGATGGATAAAAGATCGAGCCATTCGATGGATAAAAGATCGAGCCATTCGATGGATAAAAGATCAAGCACAAAAGAAAATATAGTTACCGTTAAGAGTTCAAATGATGAATCTAAAATTAATACAAGAAATAAAACGATCAAGAGAAATACTAGAAAAAGAAAAAACGAAATACCAAAACGTAATTCTCGATCTATGACCAAAAAAGAACGTGGGGAGAAAAACGACACATCAGAAGAAGAAATGGGAGAGGAGTCACAAGAAGTTGCTATGATCATGGAAAATTCTTTGATTAACGATAGTAAGACGAAAAATATTGAACGAAAACGTAAAAGGTCGAATGTCAATTCGGATAACAATTCTTTAAACAATAGTTATGATGTTTCCCGTAAAGGTGAAACGAGTAATGAAAAGTACAAAATACGAGTATTGCGAGCGAAACAAAAGAACTTAAATAAAAATAATACTTCGCAATCGTCTCTTGATTCTTCTATGACGGATGATTCATTGATCAGGAAGGATAGAAATAAAAGATCCCTACCATCTACAAGGAATTCTTCGCTTACTCGGTCCACAAATATGGAAAAAGAGATAGATCAAAATAGTAGTATTGTTTTGAGAAAAAGAAAAAAAAAAGAATCCGAACTTTCAACGGATGTAATTATTAATATAAGAACTTCGGATACTCGTAAATCTATATCTAATGTGAACTCGAATTCTTCATTTTCTACTCCAAAAGAAAAAGTTTTGTTTACCGGTTTAACGGATGACGATTATGTCAAAGTATTAAAAGTATTAGGTACTTTTCTTTCCACATTTATAATAAATATCAATTAATCGTATAATTGTGTTAAATTTAGCTTAACCATTTTATTGTTTAGGTGCTGTCAAGGTGGACGATCCTTCTGAGTGTACTGTATTAGTTACAGATAAAATACGTAGGACAACTAAATTTCTTTGTACTTTAGCAAAAGCAATACCAATAGTATCCGTTAATTGGTTACTCGAAAGCAAACGAGCTGGACATTTCTTAGATTGGAACAATTATTTTCTAAAGGATCCAGCTATGGAAGCAAAATACGGATTTAGATTGAGAAAGAGCTTGGAAAAGGCTAAAGAACGACAATTGTTAGACGGTTATATAGTTTTATTAACTCCAAATATAGTCTCACCACCTATACCAGAATTGAAAGGTGAGTCTTATATATATCTATACTAATACCAAAAATATTAATTAAATCAATTTATTTCTTTTTATCTTAAGCTATGATTGCGTCGTGCGGAGGCAAAGCTGTTTTACGTGCACCTATGGAATTGACAATAAAAACAGTTATTATAAGCAACGAAAATGGTTTGAAGAAGGTGGATAAATGGTTGGTAAAAGCACCAAAAGGTGTAACTGTACAATCTACCGAGTTTCTTTTAACTGGTATTTTAAAGCAAGAATTAGATTTCGATAAATATAAATTGATGTAATTATTTGATTAATTTTCATCATAAGTGCCTATGCAAAAAAATTCCATTCAAAATGACTATTATGATAGAAATTATCTTGCAAACAAATATAAATTTTTTAAGTTTACTCCTTAAGAATCGATTTTCATATAAGACGCCCGGTATGTTTTTTGTTATAAAAAGAAAAAGATAAATGATTTATATTATATATTTACGACTAATAGATATTTAGTTACCAATCAGAATGTAAATCTTATTATTTGTATATATGATTTTCTATTGTATATGTAATTTAGATTTATATTGTAATATATACACTAAAGAATCAATATAACTTTTAAAAAGATATTCTATTTTATTAAATCCTTATTTTAATATCTATATAATTATTACTCACAGTTTAACACAAGGATAACTTAACTTAAGTATCAAAGATTTTTCATAATACAACTTAGAAAAAAAAGCTTATCATTGATATTACGAATAATAGATTCAGCGAAATAATAAACACGCTAATAATATAAGAAAACAAAGCTTATTTTTGTTAAATTTTTTTCGTTTTCTTTTTCTCCCCCACAAGTTAGAGATCTAATTGTTACTTTACGAAAAAGAGAATATATATCTGACAAAGCTTACGATCACAACTATTTAGAAATTAACAAATCATCTCTATATATATATATGTAAATGATGTTGATCATTAACGTTCTAGTGGAACGTGACCAATAAGGTGTTGATACAAAACACAAATTCCATAATCGAATATATTTATATTAATAGTAGATCCGATAAAGACAAAAATAAAAATAAAAATAAAATGAAAGAAAGATAGACAGTTGCGTCATAAATTATGAAAAACAGAATGAATGATAATAATTATTCCGATATCATATAATATAATAACGCGGGCGATCTATCTTACTTAAAAATTTTATTGCGAATGAAAATTTTTTCTGATAGATGAATAAATGCATTTGTCGACAACATGGAAATTTTAATCGTTGAGAAAATGTCCGTATATAATCTTGTAATGAAAGGAAGTATCAAGGATGAGAGATAGATAATCCCTCCTACGAGATACGCGCCGGCCCCAACGTCAAAGACCTGAAACAAATAAAAACAAACAAAAGAATATTATAAGATATATTATATTTATATTTGTGTTATATGATTACAAAATCAATTCATTTTATATATAAATTAATTGTTGTGAATTAAAAAAGTTAAATAAATAAAACGAAAGTATTTGTTTTCTTTATAATTAATTACAATAATATTTTCTTATGAAATGTTGGGCGTAAATCAGCGATTGCATTTAAAATGGCGGCCGCGATAAGAAATGTAAGACGTAGTTATATATATCGGGAAGATCGATTTATTCATTTTCAATGGTAGAGAAGATACGAGTTGTTATTGCGTAATAGTAAGACACGTAATATAAATTATATTTAAATTAAAAGAAAACGTATAATGCGATTTAATAGTTGAAATGTATTATTTCTTTTTTCAGCACAAAGAAAATAAAACAATAGAAATGACAAGGTAAACGTTATTAGTCATCAAGCATACATACATATATACATACATACATACATACATATACATATATGTATGTATACAAATTATATTATAGATTCTTCATAAAAGCGAAATGAAAAATAATAAAGAAAAAGAAAAGTAACGGTTAATCGAATTTACCCAACACAACGATTTACGCTTTGGTCTTCCCTTGTTGCCTTTTGTTATGTTCGGAATTCATTAGCTTCGTTAAAATCTTTCTAGAATGGCCGCTCGGATCAAAATGATTAGTATGAGCGTCGGCTTCGCGTTTTGAACGTTGTTTTCCACCGTGGCCAGTAAATATATGCTTGTCGTAATCGTAGTTGAAGTGCTCGTATTCGTCGACGTAGTAGTTATCGGACATAATTTCTGATTTTCTTGTAATCACGCAAAGAAATAGATTTAGACAAAAATAATGCGTCGTAGCAACAGCAACAGCAGCAACAGCGCGTAGATGGGTGGGTGAGATTAAGAAAATACTGCACAAAAAAATAAACTTTTTCTTTTTCGCGTTGCAATTGTTGTAACGAGTTAACGTTCGATTCGATACTAAATTCAATGACGTCCTTGCGTCCCTTCTTTTATAGGATAAGCTCGAGTGTTTACGCATGCGTATTTCGCAGTAACGTACAACGCGCATCATAACATAACTAAACTGTGCTTACATTTATCTTCAAACACACAACGCGATATTTTATTTTTATATTTTTTGTATTTTTCTTCTCCCTTTCTCTGACAACCGAAAAAAATAAATTTCTACAATTTTGTCGCTATTTATTATTTAAGCTTTTGTAATTTGTAATGGGAACAAAATTTAAAGAACAATAAAAGTAAGAAAAAACGTTATATCGAAGTTTCGATATAATAAGTAAGTTTTGTTTGAAGAGTGATGATCATTTTGCGTCGTTTTTGTTCATTCCTGTAATCGGTACTGTTAACAGTTGCGCTAGTGTTCTTAATGTTTATGCTCGAATAAGTGCGCTAACTATATACAAAATAAATATAAGCTGAAAGTATATATATATATAGATACGTGTACACGTAGATGTTGATATTAACTCGCTCGGTAGATAATATCGTATTTCCTATATCTATATATATTTTTCCTTTTAAATTATGATCTCAATTTATATCAGCAAAAGCAAAGATAGGATATTTGTTTGAACGAAACTGATTCCTCATTGTAACTTGATATTTATATAAATGCGATTACGAAAAAATTCGAAAAGTCGATTGAGTTCAACACGAGTTTCTCGAATTTTCTGTTATCTTTAATTAAACATAAAATATTAATTATAACTTTTCAGTTTACATCAATTCCAATCTCGTTTAAACTTATCGCAATTAGATTAGATGACCCTGCACGAGTTTTAATTTCGAATGTTTATCAATTCACAAGACATGTGTATTTTGATTTTCTTTTTGGAAAATTTTAACATATATTATTCATATATTTGTAATAATGACACAATAATATTTTTCCAAATATTTAACGTAACACAATATTACGTTACATATGCGCACAATTAATTTTCTCCATACTTGTATTTAATTTTTGACAGGTTTGTAATGAAACAAAAAGTACATCATTTAAAAATAATTTATCTTATTTGCATATGAAAATATGCACGAGATATTGACATACTTATTTCGATATATATATCTATATATGTATGTATACAAAAGGTGCGAAAAAGACGTTTATTATTTCAGTATTGCTATGACTAATCGTCGATTGTTGATAAAACGATGCCATAATAATATTATTTATATTGAAAGATCGAGATAAAACTGTCAGAAGAGAATTCGCATTATCAAGGCCCAAGGCCAATTCGATTAGAAATATCAACAGAATTCACTTTGCACGAAGTCGACGCGAATAAAAACGAACACACACACACACAAACGTGTGAGCATTTATTTTTTATTTTTATTATTTTGTTCTTTTCATTCAATTTGTTATCTTTATTAAATTCTTGTAATGTGTATCTCGTTATTTCATTGTTCGACTTTGTCTAATATTTTTATCTTTACAAACATGTAAATTGTCGTTGTCGTGACGAGAAAGTATAATAATCTTCCTAGTGTTAATATTTATCAAAATTGGATAATAACAAATGGAATGATATTAGAGATCTAGCAATTAAAATGAATTAATCGATTTGTATCGATCAGAAAACAGAAATGATAACGTAGAGTTAGAGGTGATTAAACTAAGGAAACTGGTTCAATCAAGATAATCGTATTTTCGGATACCTGTGTGTATACTTATATATTAGTGTAAAAGTATACCAATGTAGATAGGAAGGGACAGAGGGGTATCTAGTATCTAAAGTACATTATCATACTTATAATCAGGATTCGGATTTCGTGAGGAATCAATCGTTAGTGGCCAATATTCGCGTAGATATTTAAAATTGTAAACAACAACCGACGTGGGACGGAATTAAATGGCCTTGTTTACCGTGACCTTATGTAAATCGCAAAACGGTTTCCCAATCTTGACATTTTAGGTAGATATTGAATTGAAAAAAATGGTTGCTAAGCCTGCGTAAAAAGTCACGTTCTTGTTGTTTTTTTTTCACCATACACATTGACGTGCAAACGAACGAATTACGACGAGAAGAACAATGGGTACTGATATTATATATATACGGTTTTTAAAAATAAACATTAGTTGTTAATGTGCATATCATATTGCTTGGCAATGTCTTATCGCAAATGAGAGTTATCTCAACTGTTTTTCGTTTAAATAAATTACATTGGTGATTGTATTATTAGGATAAAATAGTGATCGATAGGATGACACACGCATACACGCACACATACGATGATAAATATACATAACACATATAACAAGATACCGTGTAAAACTTTTTATTGGAATTGGAAATAATTGTACTAGAAAATGACTTGCATTTCGTGTTTGTTTTTTTTTCTTGTTCACATGAAAAAAGTATTTAACAAAAGAGATAAAGAGAGAGACAGGGTTCAATCGATGCCATAAACGTCACCACCCTTTCGGTAATCCGCATTTGCGTGTATTGTACCATTATGGCAGAAAATTACGCATACCACGCTACCACGTTCTCTATAACGAGACGTTTTGTATCCCAAATTCTTCAAACCGTCAATCACCTGTTTGGGTACACCATATTCGTAAGAAACTTCAGCAGGAAATAATTGATGATGTATTCTTGGGGCATCAACGGCTTCCTTAACCGTGTTTCCCATCCATAAAATTTTGGCAATCACCTAAGAGAATTATTTTTTATTGGATACCATTAACTAATCTAATTATTTCAATAAAACAATTAGTAGGTGTTCACGAATTGGAAAATAATAAAAGAAAATAAAACGATATATATATATTGGTTATACCTGAGAGACAGCAGTCGTTATTTTAGTACCACCCGATGCACCAACGACCAATTTAACGTCTCCATTTTCATCTATTAAAATTGAAGGTACCATCGAGGACATCGGTCGTTTACCAGGTTCGATATAATTATTGGGACTAGGTGGAACTCCGAAGTAATTAGTTTTAAATGGTATTCCAAAATCGTCCATGGCGTTGTTAAATAAAATACCAGTTCTCTCGCTGGTTACTCCGCTACCAAAGCTACGAAAAATAAACAAAAGTGTATTACGATATTTTAAATATATATTATTTGAAATTTTAGGAAAGTTTTTACATTGACGAAAAATAATGTTGTAATAGATATACAAACTAGAAATTAATCGTGCTGGTAACCGAAACGGCGTCACCATTTTGTGCTAAAACTGAAATATGAGCTGTCCCATGATCTTCGGTATTACTATAAATGGAAGCCCCATAATGTTTTGGATCATCCCAAGTTTTAGTATCTTCTATCTTCATTCTTATCTGATTCGCGTAATCCTTTGACGTTAAATTATTGTTTAACTATAAATAATAAATTACTTTATTTTACATGTTCCTATATTATATATATATATAAATATAATTGAGTCGTTTATTTTGAAAGTGTACTAAGTCCATTTGAATATTTTTATTGTTGTTGACTGATAATAATATCTACAAATGTAAGTTAACTATAATAAAAAAGCATTTAACGGAAAAAATAAAAAATGGACTTAAGTAATTATTAAAATAAATGTGACTTAATTATATATAATATAACATATTATATTTGAATTAGATTTGACACGGGAACATAAAAAAAAACAACAAAACAACATACTTCCGTCATATCGACAAAATCCTTATCTCCCATGTTACCTCGTAAGGCATAAGCGTATTTGTAGGTTTCTAACATTCTATGATAAGTTACGATGGTCGAATTGAAGTCCGACAAACTCTCGGACGTAAATCGGAAGCCATCGAAAATGTTTAAAATAAAACTGAGTAAACTTCCGCTGCCTGGTGTTCCCGGTGTAAAAAGTCTAATACCATTTGAAAATTTTTCCTCAACTGGTTTCTCCCACGTAGCTCTGAACAATGTTAAATATTTGTCTCGTTAATTCTAATGTTCCTTTATAAGAACTTTAATATCCATGATAATGAATTAACATTTAACATATTTTATATACCTAAATGCATTGAAATCCTTCATTGTAATAATACTGCCTCTCTTTTGTAAATCTTCAACGACCGTTTCACCAAGCGTTCCATTGTACAATACTGTAGCATTCTCTTTAGCAATGATTTTTAACGTTTCGCATAATGTTTTGGGTCTTACGATCGAACCGATGTTGATGAATTTGTTCGTTTTCGGATCGACGAATAATTTCCTAAAAATTTCCAAAAAAAAAAAAAAAAAAAGGAAGGATATCCATAAGAATAGAAGTTTAAAACAAAACACAAAAGAAGACAAAATATAGAAATAAACTGTGACCAACTTTAAAGTAGGATCCGAATAAATATTCTTCTCGTTGTATCCAAATCCGTCGTATTGAATTTTGGATACATTGTAACCCTTTTCGCATAATTCTATACTAGGTTGAAAAAGATCTGCCCATGGTAATTTGCCAAATCTTTTATGAGCTTCCCAATAACCGGCCACTTCTCCAGGTACCGCAATAGAAAGAGGACCTAAAATTATTAACTGTAAATATAATATGAACAATAATAATATAGACAAAATAATTCATATAGAAATGAATTGGAAGTAAAAAAAAAATCAATCGATTCTCTTTCTCTATTTTATAAAAAAAAAGATTCTTTAGGTAATAAGAAAAAAATTATAATATAATAAGATTGTGCTAAAATAAAATATTATTTACCGATCGAAGAAACGTGTTTAGGTTTATCAGTGTACATAGTTGCGTTAGCTGATAATGGTGCTCTATCTCTCGCATTTAATACATAAGCTTGACCAGCTGATCTATCATAAATGGTCATAAGAAATCCACCACCTAGTCCCAAACTTTGCATATTTACGAGACCGTTGCATATCATTGATGCGATCGTTGCATCCACCGCCGAGCCATTTTTTTCCAATATGTTCCTAATATGACAAAAAAAAAAGAAAAAATAAAGTAAAATCATACATTACAACATTTATTAGCGCACGTTTAAACTTTGAACGATAATTATTAGGATGAACCAATTTAATTGCGTTTACAAAAATTGTATTATAAATTGCGCACGATGGATTGTTTTTTTTTTCTTCTCGTAAAATTTATTTTGAAATATGATTAATTGAACAAAATCCACGAGATATTGAGGTTCAACCTAATATAATATAATAAATATGTTAAATATATATTTTTGTTTGTTTGAGTTATAACTCACTTGCCAATGACGGCGCATGGTGCACCATCGGCACAAACTGCACCACGTTTAAAGACCCTCAATTTGCTCCAGGATGGTGGTTGGTTGTACTCCGGATCTGGTGGCAACAAAGTCCCTTCATTTTCGTGATATTTTAAACTGTCATGGATGGCGTAAAGGCATACGGCAATGATTATTTTGAGGATCACTGCAACCACGATACCAATTATGATCACACCTTTCGTGCGAAAACGAGATCTGAAAGATTATAACCATTCATTCAGACAAACCGTTTGGAGCTCGAGTGTGTTTTGTTTGTTTGTTTTTTTATTTGCATGCTTGTTTTTTTTTTTTTTCCTTTTATATATTAACGCATAGCGTTATTATGTTAATCCTAATTACGCGAAATATTAATGTTATCGCAAACACGAGCAAGGTCGCGTAATAATTGCAACGTTTAAATATAATTACAGGTTTACATTAATATCATCTATGTAAATGTTTAATTATATAAGTGTACAAGTAAAAAAAAAAAAGCTTACTATTGGAATAAACATATTAATAATATAATAATGCTATTGGTATCTAGAAATTATTATTAGAATGACGTGTTCGACGATATAAAAAAAAAAAGTAAAGAAAAAGTAACCTACGATAAAATAACCACTTGTTATAAAGAATTAGTTCTCGAATAGAATCGCTGATGACCGTATCGTTGCGAGAAACTCCCATTCTTCAAAAGAGTACGTAATTTTTATATATTATATTTTAACTTTTGATATATATAGTTAATAATATAGTGTGTTAGATTAATAATAATATATATAT